TGGGAAGCTGCTCCTGCACAAGCTCTTGTCAATACTATGGAAACTGTTGTTATGACTACTCCTGTAAGTAACAAGACTCAGAAGAGAAACCGCTACACAGTATGGTCACAATTTTAACAAAATCATATTACATCACACTGAAATGCTCTACTCCAATATTACTCACAAAGTAATTTATGACATTATTATCCAAAGTTTACAGAGAAATTGAAATCTTTTCCTCTTAATATGATGCATTTCCTGTAGAAACAGGATGTTGGAGCGAACGCCTTAAGAGCAGCATGTCCTCATTTAAGAGGCTTCATATCACAGCCAGAAAAGACACATTTTTAGTCAGACTATGGCAATGTCCTCCTCACTGGTGTGCTCAAAACAACTGCTGGCAGACTGAATAACAATATGGAGGTGCCAGGATCATATTTTTTGTTCACCATTGTAGAATAAACAACAGGTGTATCATAGTATTTGTTTAACACAGTAGGAAGAGGTCATTTTTATTCTCCTCTCTTCTCTTTGTCATGTAGCTTACTGCCAGTCAAGCACTGCCGAACCTATGACACCAACCTCAGGTATGAAAACCTCTCAAGTATTTTTGGAATAAACCGACATTTAGTAGAGTTAGTGATCATTTATTCTGATAGCAGATTTCTAAAATTTTTGTATTCTCCGGTGTCATTCAGCCCAGCCCTCATGTCGATACAACTGCGGCAGTTACATGGGAAGCTGCTCCTGCTCAAGCTCTTGTCAATCCTATGGAAACTGTTGTAACGACTACTACTGTAAGTATTGTGTCATTCAAAGCTCATTTCCATCACCTTTGATCGCAGTTTCCACTAAAAAGTAGGACTTAAACCCATGGGTTTGTTTTTTCCAACAGCCTACTGCAGAGTCACACCTACAGGTAAGATCCTCCGTGTGCAAAATGAGCCTTACTGCAAATACAGTTCACTGCAATGACACGTTTTCTTGTCCACCTTCAGCAAACTCCTGTGGAGGCTCTCTGTTTGGCTCTGGCACCTTCTCCAGCCCGAACCACCCTGACTACTACCATGACAGTGCCTACTGTACCTGGCAGCTACGAGCTGCGTATGACCAAAGAATCTTCCTGGAATTCATGTACCTGCAGTGAGTGGAGAATAGACCGCTTTTTGATGATGATGAGTTTAAATTAGCAGCATTACTATGTGAATAAATCTAAACTGATAGCCATGACGGAAACTAGAACGGTTTTGCAATTTTGCTTTAATAAGTCAGTAATTTATAGTTTTTTTTAATCATCTTTTTAAAAAAACAGATTGGATAACTGCTGCTCCTGTGACTACATTGCAGTCTATGATGGGCCATCTGTTAGCTCACGATACCTGGGGAAAGTATGCAACTCAAGTCTGAGTACTTTCTACTCCTCATCAAACTACATGACTGTGCTCTTCCGGACTGATGGTTCTGTGGTTGGCAGAGGGTTCAATGCTAAGTTCATAAGCTCTCTTCCACCAAGCTCAGGTACAATTATGGTATATTTAATAGTGGTTATGGTTGTGTAATTGTGATGAGAGGCCCTAATACAAAGATGGTATTGGTTGCATTGTGGGTAATGTAGGATCCAGTATTTTGCATGCTAGGGACTAAAAGACAGGCTATTTTAGCCTCTCCTGCTCCCATTTTGGACATTCTCTATTTAGATCTAGTTTTTTTTTTTTATCCCTTTAACTCAGCTAAAGTCCAAAACAATCACTGTCCCTTTAATCCCCTTTCTAACTGTACAGTCTAAAAACAGCCAAAATACTGTAAATTAGCATATCCGCACATCCTTTTCTGTCAGGTGGTCAACCAATTCCGGCTAAAATTCAGCTAGACTAAAAGTCTATAATCACACTAGTGACTCTGTGAGGTTGTGCTTAGGCGTAATGGTGCTTTGCGCTAAACGCAAACGTCTGCTTACAGGATACACATTGTTTAAAGGAGCTACATGTAGGGGTAGCATATCAGATATCAGGAGGAGGGATTCAGGCTATGGGCAGGGGAGACCCAGTGGGGAATGCTGGCGTGGTGCGGACAAATTAAAAACTCGAGCCAATGATGGCACTGTATGGAAAAGTGAGACATCACCAGAGTTAATACAATTCATCCTAATGGGGACATAAATGTCTGCACTAAATTTCGTTGCAATCAATTGCATCCAACAGTCACTGTTTCATTCAAAATCACAAATGTCAACCTCATAGCTACGGGAGGAATCAGGGTCACTAAAATCAGTAGGTTTCCTCCTCTGGGGACCATGAATGTCTGTACAGAATTTAAAAATATCCTGTTAACATGGTCCTTTGTCAGGTCGAGTGGACTGTTCCTCAGACAACATGAACATTGTGATTGAGAGGACGTACCTGAACTCTCTCGGCTACGACGGCCACAGTCTGTACTTGAATGACCCGCACTGCAGACCCCAGGTTTCCAGATATCAGGTGGTCTTCAGTTTCCCCATTAACACTTGTGGCAACATTCGAAAGGTAAACAACCCATCACTTTCTGGAAAACATGAACAATGTACAGAACTTCCTAATGACGCTCCTACAAATTATGGGACATGTCAGTGGAACCCTGAGTGTGACTATTTTTCAATATCATCTACCTTGAACAGTTTGAGAATGGCAGAGTTGTGTACACCAACACTCTCCGTGCCTACGCCTCCAGCTCCGGAGAGATCACACGCCAGTCTCACTTTAAGCTGAACGTGGGCTGTCGAATGGAGCAGGACTCAGTGGCCCAGATCATGTACCTTGTCTATCATCGTGACAACAGCAGCATTACAGGCACAGGCAGGTTCAACACCAGCATGGATTTCTACACATCCAGCAGCTTCTACTATAAGGTGTGTTTGGGTAGAAAGTGATGAACAGAAAATTCCTTATATAAATACTTCCACACCATGATGACATTTTGCTTTTACCCTCTCAGGTGACTCAAGTTCCATACGAGGTGGCACTCAACCAGAACTTGTATGTCCAAGTGGAGTTAAGGAGGGGTGACAGCACCCTGGTCCTCTTTCTGGACACCTGTGTGGCTTCACCATCACCCCATGATTTCCAGAGCAGATCTTACTACCTGGTCCGTAACGGGTAAGATGAGAGCACAAGCTGTGTAGATTAAGTATCTAACGACCATTGGCTTTCCGTTCCTGTTTTCTCGTGTGATTAATGCTGAAACATCTAGGGAATAGTACTAAGTAGATTTACTGAAAATCTGTTCTTAAGTAGGTATTGGTACCTGGAGTAGATTAAAGTAAACATAAAAAAAAAACGCCTGGTGAATACAGATCCTTGGTCTTCTGTTGTACTGTTCAGTAACACTGTGTCTATTTCACGTTTAGATGTCCTGTAGACAACACCTACCAGGCCTACGTAACTGGCACCCGTGCGTATGCCCGTTTCACATTTAAAGCCTTCCAGTTCCTGCGAGCCACAGAGTCTGTTTACATCCAGTGCAAGGTCCAGATATGCCCTGCCTCTGACAACAACTCCCGCTGCCGCAGAGGCTGCAGCAAGCGTGCAGCCAGAGACGTGGGGTCAGAACACGACAGCCAAACTCTGGTCCTGGGTCCCATCCAACTCAAAGGTGTGTAGCCATTTGTACCTGGTTTTGATACCAATAGTGGATCAACTGAAGCATTATAGTAGGTTAGCAGTAAGGTCACTTATGTCCTCACAATAAACAATAAAAGACATTTCACTATTTCTCTTCACCAGAGCCTGAGAAAAAGGAAGAGGAGACACATGAGCAGGACAAGGCTTAACTTGATACTGCAATGAGCTGCTTCAGTCATCTTTACCGAGCACTCAACATTCTGTTAATTGTGACACTGAATTTTAATCACAAGTAACCATTTATTTTCTCTTTATTGCATTACCTGATTAAAAGCATCACTAAAAGACAATCTGTGTTTGTGTTTTTCATTGTCATACTAACCTTAAATGTTAGCATACCATAATAAAATCATCACTGCTATTCATTTCTGTTCTTGGGAAAATAGCAATTCCACAATTTATATATATATTAAGCTCCTCACCCATCCCTTCAGAAGACCTTTATTAAAGGGAATAAAATGAATACAAAAATTTATACATTTTACACAGTCAAAGACAAACTTGTAAAAGATATCCATATAACATATACTTTTTAAAAAATGGGAAGACTCAACACAATAATTCCATGGAAAGATGTACTTAATATTATCTGTAATTCAGCCTTAGATCTATATATGTAATACAAATACATATAATATTTTAATTAATACATTTTTACCAACTAAAAAAATTATTGATGAAAAAACTATTTGGGGCTTAGAGCAATCTAGCTTGTGCGGGTTTTGCAATGATGACGAGGAATTAATCTTGCATCCGATGAGGTATTGTCCTGTTGTTGCTCTATTTTGGGTTCAAGTCCAAAAATGGATATTAAACTGTAATAAAAATACACTATTATTTACTAGTTTTAGGAGATTTAAGTCATAGTAAATCAGTAGTATTGTAATCCTGTTTGGAAAAGCATTCGTAATAAACCTGAAAGTACACACAAAGCTTAAAATACCAGATTTCATCTAAAAGGCCCACTGGATGATAGAAAGGTCAACATCTAAAAAAGGAAACCGCAGACCTTGAAATTGCTAAAAGAATGGGAAAAACTAAACCTCAGGGAAGGATGGAAATTAGAGCCATTTGATTGTGTTGGATTATGTATGCATGAGTTAAAGTACAGCCTCAGATATCATAATATAATCAATAGGCTGTACTGTGCTGTGGAGGTCTGTGGGGTGGGCAGACAGCAGGCCGGCCTATGGGGTGCCTGCACTTCCTCCCACTCTTGGTGCTGGTTCTGTGCCCAGTGGACCGGCTTTGGCCCAATTGGAGACCCCATTAGACAAACGACAATCTATTTATTGCACTCATTATAACTATTGATATTATTATTTATCCATTAAATCTTAGCATTACAATTATTATGAATCTCTTCTCCTTTGTTGCTGTTTTGGCCAGTTCACCTAACTCTGTACATACTTTGATTTACACTACTGTGTTGGTGTATGTAGGTGTGTGTGTGAATGTGTGTCAACTATGCAATTTTTTTTTTCTCTCCCTCTCCCTGTCTGGGTAGGTGTTTATAGGTATTCTTAAGTGTAGGAGTGTGTTTGGGCTTTGTTGGGTTATCTGTTTTGGGTGTTGTTTGGATATTTGGTGGACTGATGACCTTTTGGTTGTGATGTTGATCTCGTGGTAGGTTGGTGGATGGTTCGGCTGTGATGTGTGGACCCCGGAGTATTTCTATTCTTATGTATAGTATGGTGCGGCCTGTGTCATATGTTGTATGTATTCAAATAAAAAAGAAAGAAAAAAATGAAGACAAAGCACAGCTCAGTTAGAAAACACTTTACTTATAAATTAGTTAGATTAATTCATGTCACAATAAAATGATTTGCCATCCCAGAGGGAGAGAGTGATCGCCAGAAGGCTTCAACATTCACCATTACCTAGGAACCTACGACACACTGAGAACATAAGGCAGTCATTACTGGATGCCCCTATTACTGGTAAGCATGGTGACAAGGAGGTGGTCCTATAAACAGTAACTATGTTCTCCACGCATGTTGCTAAGCAACAGACAACAGTACCCAAGACAAAGAACAATCTTGATAAAGTAGCAGTCTTACTGCAACATGGTTTTGCTTTATTGACACTGAACATCTATCCAACCACTCAGAATACAATACTCAGTAAATATTCAGAAAAGCACTGGGATCCATATGATGAATGCAGAATCTCAGTGTTTGTTATCACAAAGGCTCAAACGTGGCATCCCCAGTGCTACGTGGCAATTCTGAAAAACTGTTCACATGAGACACAAGACTTGATTCTGTCCTAAACATTGAGACACTGGATACCTTCTTACAATATCAAAAGATCAGAATGTGACACAATTAAAAGGATTATGCAAAACCCCTTTAACAAAACGAGTGAAGTTACCATGATGCTGGTCAAAGAAGGGCACTGTGTGGAGGGACGTCAAAACAACACGACTTCTACAAAATCTAGTTTAACAACTGAGCTGGCTGACCAAAAACCACTGATACAAAGTTTGGCCAGGTTTTACAGTGGATGCCATCCATATAGTTTTGATCCCAAAGTTTCTTAGCAGCATTCATGGAGCAGAATTTTGGCAAAATAAAAATCATTGCTACCATTGAAAACTACAATGGCCACACTTTTTTTCCTAAGGTTCTGGGCCTACCCATTACAGTAAGAAGAGGATATTGTAATAATATCCATTAATCTTCAAAATAACAGTCCTCTCTATCTTGGAAACACAAGAAAGTGACTATGTCAGGCACTGCAAAGAAATAGTAGTAATGCACCAAGCACTGAAATAATTTCAACAAGGCTTAAGTAAGATCTCTCTAGGCCAACAGTTTCCCTCCTGTGTTAGTATCATCAGAGCAATCTTCTGATAAAGCTCCAGGAGTGTTGAGAATTTATTTGGGCTGCCCACTCAGAGTTACCCTAGAAAAGGCTTTTTTTTGTTTGCATGGTGTATTATTATAAAAAAGGGACATGCTGTTGAGAGTGAGCCCTCCCCCCTTAACTGTGATGGCAGGCACAGGTGAACTACAGTCATATGTTTTTCCTGTTTACATTTGGTAACTACATGTGTATAGTATGTATTCTGCCCTTAGCAGCACTGTTATCGCTTTATTTATTAATACGTTGGTTTTACTTTTCTGATGATTTCCTTCCAATGGCCACTGGTTTTCATTCATCCTCAGTCTGATTTGTGGCCATTTAAAATGTACCCATCTACATTTGCTTTAGATAGGAACAGTGAAAACCAGTTTAGTTAGCATGGTATTGCATTTGAAAGTTTGCCAGTCAGTTACATTTGTGTTCCTAGGGGAAACATCAGCCTCCAACAACAGCCTTATGTTTAACAATAACAAACTTTCAAAAATTCAAGGTATATTGTGAATTTGGCAATCTACGACATTAAATAAGGTTAAGTAAGTAGATTTTCTGATTTATGACGGCATGTGAGTGTAACTCCACCACCACAAATAAATTCTCAACCTGTTGAAAACACTGATCATCCCTTTATAATACACTTGAATGGGCACCATACAAACCATCTGAATGTTGACGTTTTCCTGTATAAGTACAACTTTCAAAGGCTAGGCTACATCAAGGCCAAGTAAAAGACCAATAAATAAAATTACTATGGAATTAATAAAACAAAGTTGTCCGTTAAAAGTTCTTTCAAAGGTTTCCTTATCCGTCCGTTACTTGTGCTGCCCGCGGGCAAAGTGGCAGGCAAAGTCATACTTGCTCTTGCACTTGTGGCCGCAGATGTTGCACTGGAATGGGTTCTCGTAGCCATGGCAACCCATGTGGATGGTGTAAAGGATGTTGTCGGGGAAGTAGATGTCACAGTGCTGGCAGTGATGCAGCATGTGGGGGTCCTGGAGTGGAGCGGACAGGCCTGGAGCCGGCGTACTGGGTTGGCTGTTGGAGATACTAGGGGTGCTGGTGCGCCCACTGTGCTCGCTGCAGGGGCCCCCTCCAGGGCTGCAACTGCTGTGCGGAGGAGCCCGGGGCTCTGGGGTGATTGGGGAAGAGGATGAGGCATGGACCATGCTGGCCACGGGAGCTGTGGCAGGGTGCGGCTGCTGGATGAGGAAGGGCTTCTCATCGACGATAGACTCTGCTCCTGGAGACATGGGAGGTTGAGTCTGGGCCTGAGACTCTGAAGGGAGGCTGGCCAACTGGCCTGCCAGGGTGGACAGCTGGTTCAGGGGGTTATCCATAACCATATCATGGTGATGGTGGTTTTGATTTGCGGAGTGCCCATCCTCAACTGCTCGACTCTGATTATCATAGGTCTCCTGACGTAAATGGGGCAGCTCGTGGGAGAAGTCGTTCACATTGTCAGCCTTGTGCACCACCATAGAAGGGGGGCTGAAGTTGATGAGGAGTCGGCGGCCGTAGCCCAGGGAGCTGGCCTTCTTCTGTAAAACACTCAGCATCTTCTTATGGGAGAGTGAGCGAGCACCTTTCATTGGCAGGAGTTTGTGGCGTCGGCGGCGATGGTGCGACAAGTTGCTACGATCACTGCAGCGGAATGAACACAGCTCGCACTTATAAGGCTTCTCGCCGGTGTGCGACCGCATGTGGGCCTCCAGGTGGCGCTCGTAGGCTGAGGCAAACGGGCAGAGGTGGCAGCGGTGAGGTTTCTCTCCTGTTTAATTGAGGAGAAACAGGCTAAGTAACAAAACCACGTCACTGTCATCCACTTTCAAATGAGCCACTGGCACGTACCTGTGTGAATTCGGATGTGCTCAATGAGTCTTGCTGTGCCTCTGGTGGCATAGTTGCAGTAGCGGCACTTGAGCTTCCCGTCGTAGGTCCTCTCGAAACCATCTACCAGGATCCCTGAGCTGTCCTCCAGTGACATGTCCACTGAGGGGTGATCCAGTCCATTCTGACTGCAGTCTGCATACAAGGACAAGGACAACTCAGATTATACTTTACTATCTAAGAAAACAAATGGTTCAGCAGTAATATATTATTTACATGAACACTGTAGCTAATTTTAATGCCTTTTTTACAGCTGACATTCCAGTTGATTAGAAAATAACATGCAGTCCAACACTTCAGTAGTATTTGTGTTGAGCTGCATACAATAGCATTAATTGCAGACGTATTGAAAGGTGGTGAAGAAAGGAAAAGGATGATTACTTGAGCAGTTACTCTCTATGATGCCACTGATGAAATTGATAACCGTGTTAGGAATCTGAAGTCAGATCAAATTAAAAAGGTGAATCTTTCAGCTGTACCGCAGAAGGGTTGCAGACAGTAGAGAAATGACACACAGTGAGTTTACCTGGCGGCAGCTCGTCAGCCTCCTTGACGCCGCTGACGGAGCCCGATATCATGTTGACATGTTGAGTCTGCTGACTCAGATACTCCTGGAAGTCCTTCACAAAGTCAAGCGTGTCCGGCTTTTCTTCACCCATTGAAAGAAAGTGATGCAAACGTCCGACCGACCACAATTACTGAAGGCGTGAGCTCCGGAAATGAACTAACGAAGAAAAACCAAAGCAACCACTCACATCTGAAACAACTGTAAAGTAGCACTGTCGCCAACGTTAGCTCGCGGTTTCTTCAGATACACACCTAACTTACCTCCTCGAAGATTAACTTGTTGGTTTAATGTAACCACTTTTGTTTGTTTGTTTGTTTGTTTGTTTGTTTGCTTTGAAAGCCGTGTTGTGGCTGTCCAGACACAAAGACAATATAATCCCGGAGATCTGTGATTGACAAGCAGGAAATCGGCGCGATCCGATGTCTGGTCGGTCGCTCCTACACACTCCTCCTCATCCTCCTCATCATCATCATCATCATCCTCGTCATGTTGTTGCCAAAGCTACGTACGCTAACTTACGTTAGCCACACAGCTAACGTTAGCTTATCTTGGAGGAAACATCTTAGAAAACAGAAACGCCAATATCCGGTCGACACTGGTCTTTATTTACATCGCCTGTACGCGTTAGAGTAAGTCCTCTACAGCACTACTGGTTTTAAATCCTTGTTTCAGCGGAGCCACTTGAAAGAAAAGACAACCTGCTAAATCAAAACAATAAAAGAGCCAGTGTAAGGGGTGAAAGTTCACTGCGTGTGCACCGGTGAAGTCCGTCCCGCCACAAGCTCAACGTACCCGCCAAGAAAGGTTCCCACCTGTAAGGCTGTAACTTTGACTAAAAGACATAGCTACACAGCTGCCCGTGGTATAAAATCAATAAAAACATTATTAGTGGACATTTTTAAAGTATAACATGACTCGACAACACGCCTCTTTGTCAGCGTGCCACAGAGAACCGGGTGAGATACAGTTTATATCAGTATCATGTAACGTTGTTATTTACACATACATAAAGCAAACTCTCTCCAGCTAACTAAAAACGACCTTTGACAGAGGAGATTATGTTAATGTGCCTGAAGGTGATGTTCCAGTGTTTTACTGGCTTTAATGGCTTTATGATCAAATATGGAACTGTTATTGTACTATATATTCTTTTTTTAAAAACATTGTATATTATATTTTTACACTTTAACACATTTGAATGTATTCCCACAAAATGTTTTCACACATTCAGATATGGTGATACACAGCTACAATGCTTTGGTCCCTATATTGACTCCATAATATATGATATCAAGACAGCAAACATTGTCTTAAAGTATGTACAGTGTTTTAACGTCACAGCCCTTATGGTGAGTTGGTGTTAAACATCAGCATTTAACTGTTCAAGTATAGGCAGGGAAGTATAGGCGTGAAGGGACTTGTTTTTTTAGACAGCCCCTAGAGTATTAACACCCATCTCTTGCCACCAGCTAATAAAGTCAACTGATACCATATCTACTCACATCCGTGACATGACACACTTTCATATGTACAGCTCACAATTATGCCCAAGTGGCAAATGAGCCACAACAATTGCATTACTTTCAAAAGCTATCGACTCATTTATGTTTTATCACAATCAATAATTTACCAGTGAGAGCTCGGTGAAGATCGCATTGCCCCATTTGTGTCAAAGTTGTAGGAAAACCACTGAGGAGTAGATGATAAACGACCACGTTGAGTAAGACTGCTGTATCCTTTTACCACATTACAACTGCAACTGTCAGAGCAGTAGAATTACAGCAGTAATGTAAACCTGCTGCCAGCTAATACTTTACTTTGTAACACGAGTCACTCATTTGGTGTTGAAAATACACCCGTCTACCCCATATTCAGTACCTGGACTTGTTTATGATGTGTTTGTGTGTCACATTAGAGCATTTTAACACACTATTCTAACACTTTTTGACAGTTACTTTGGTCCTGCATGGACACCTGCTGTTGCCTGTCCACATTTGAGTACAGTTATCTGGACACTAGATGGCGCACATGTCTCAGTAATGAAAGAGACACTTTCCATTCTGCCACACACTGTTTTGAGACTCAAGCACTCTACATGACACAAGATACAAAGCTAACACACGTAGGCTACTATTCTTTGGAAGTCCTAGTCTTACAGAAAAAGCTTGACTCATCAAGATTACACAGATCGTGGCTATCACTGCACAGACAATGAAAGCTCAGTGTACAGTCATCTAGTGAGTCTTGTAAGCTGACAGGGACAGCATGTACAGGACCAGTGGAAGATGTGACAGTTGCCCCCATCAGTTGAACCATGACCGCCGGAGCGGCCAATTACATCACCTTCTAACAGCCTGTCCCCACTAATGTTATTTTATTGCAATTTAATTATGCTCAGGTTTCCACCGGGGCCAGATCCTGTTGAATAATTTACACACAGCCACAATGATTTGTCGGCACGGAAAGACAAAGTGCGCACTTCTCAGGGCTCTCATTTGTTTCAGTAGTTTTGTTTTTAATTCCTACCATATAAATCATTAAAACAATAATCTTATGTTGTATTTCTAACTAAGCTTTTGCTGCAGAACTAATGGTGCCTTTGCTTTGAAGGACAGATTTATTAAGCCTAAAAATACTTAAGGAAATAATTGGTCAAACTTAATCTAGCATTAATGACATGTCCACTGCACGATATATTAAGCTGTTCTTTTAAAGGGCAGTGAGCATGTATTAATGAGACTGAGAGCAGGTAATACTCTAAAAGGGCTTACTAGGGCTGGCATTTACACCCAATAATGCTGTGGTCACTGATGGAAACTTCCTATACTTCAGTTTACAAAAAAATAACGTGTTGGTCATTGAATGCCATTAATACAATTACATAATATCTAATGTAGTATAAATTCAACCTGTTTATCTAAAATTTCAGTCTATTTTGATACAATTAGTCATATACTTAACATTTGTAAAGGTCTGACTTGAACTCAAAGCCTTGAGAATACTAATCAAAATTATACGAGCGAGTTTGAATATACACACTGCCACATGTAGAATGGGCTCTGGGACAACACCTGTCTTTGAGAAGGTTGCAGTGTTATCCACTTGCTCTGATTCACATTTAAAAGGCCTGAATGAAAAGGTTCCCTTCTCCTCTTAACCGCTTGATTTACAGGCTGTTTGTGGTTTAACGCCACACAAGACAATTGATTTGCTCCTCCTTCCCTGAAAGAAATTGGAATTTAATTTAGAGAAGGTCTTAAGCAGTTTTTAAAGACTTGGTGTCATTTGTTGGGCTTGTGTAAAAGCTGCATTAGAGATTACCCTCCTGGAAAAGCTTTTTAATCCTAGACAAGTGCAGCCATAGTAACGGTAGACGGGAGCCTCTTGGAGGCAGAAAGGTAAAGGGGGGCTTTGACAAGATTTATTCTTCTCTTACTGAGACTGTTTCTTTCTTGAGGTCTCCCGCTCCATGAGGAGCATTTGAAAAAGAACTGAGAGGTAGGGGATAGGATAAAGGAGGTATATATTAAGCTTTTCTTTCCTCTCACCACTTAATTTCCTTGCAGGCGCGCCTTGCGCCGTTGTAATGAATGTAATTGCCGCCTTTGATGAGAATGCTATTATCTGGATCACACTTTACATGGGCAAACAAGACTGCCCCTCCCTCCACCTCCACCTCCCATTTAACTCAGCAATGAGACCCCCCAATTATGCAGGGAACAAGTGGCTTTTCATAAAGCCAGCGTGTCGCTCTTGATTGGTGAGGCTTGGAGCCGGCTACATGTGGACAAAGGATAGATTAGATGTGATATAGGCACACCAAAAACCCCATTTCCTTGATTAATTTCCTGCATGCCTCACAGAAAGGGCCCACTCTCTCCCCACTGAATTCTATCTCTCCTTTAAAGACAAACTTTCATCTTTTGATAGATGTGGCAACTCAATGGACAGACAGACATTTTATTGACCTAAGTTTGACCACAGCTGCCTGAGCTTCAGAAGGGAATAGGAGCAGCAAGAGAAATGTTTCACTTCAGCGTAGGAGGATGGGCTTATTTTTCTTATAAAAAGCTCAAAATCTTTGTGGCCCTTACAGTATTTTTCTGCCATCAGCCAGGATCAACCCACTTTTCATGCTGATCTTTTTGTGCTCTCATGTCATCCCCCTCAGCACACAAACGCTGGTTGCTCACTCATTCTCTTTCTTTCACACACCCACACACGGACACACAGAGGCACACTAAACAGCCATTTGATAATAGTGGCAAACAGATATGATGGGACTTTATGAGGCGATGCGCGATAAAGCTGCTGTCACCTTAGGAAGTCTAAGTGTTCTTCTGACTGCCTTATTACCGTATTAAAGCACCACTCGACAAATTCACACACACCTCAGCCTGGCTCTGACAACCCGGCGTGATTCTGTCCAATATTCCACCAGGCTGAAATATCGAGAACAATCAAATCGACTGTCACAAGTGACAAATTATACTATTACTCCTCAAAGATTGTCATCCTTGAAATGTATTCATAGCCATTTCTTCTTTTATCGGTGAGTGATTATTCCTCTAAGCAAGCAATTCCCCAGTGATAAATTGGTAATCAATTCATTTGACTATTATGCTTTGAGAATGGCTCCAAGGTATCAGCAGCATTGGTCACTCTTATTCACTTGCATATATATCCAACACTAACTCATAGTGCTGTTGGGGCTGATGGATGCTGGTTGCCCGACCACCTGACTCTTAAAGGTTTATACCATCAGAAACAGGTTGCCATCCGGACCCAGTCACGACAGAGAAAGAATTGGCCAATATTTTTGACTGAAGTGGCATTTTAGTAGTATTTATTTGATGGTCCCCCTACCAAAACCATGGGCCACAAATAAAGAAGATGGTATAATAGCTTTTGACTGCCCAGCTAGCTCCCGACTTGAAATGAAGTGTCCAGTTGTGAGTTATCGTGGCCAAACGTCATTTGTACAGCCTGAAAAGTGGGGACATTTTTCTAGCTTGTCACTCTCAGGCTATAGCTCATTGTCCTGAATGATGCCTCTGAACGCACAGTTGCCCTAATACGAGTATTTCACTCGCACCGCAAGAAGGCTGGTAATGGATTAGCCTGTCCATAGGAAGATAATATAGTGCGTCCACTGGCACATCTTTAAACACCAATGGGTCACAGTATCAACTGTCAGCATGTCTGCCACACGGCTCACATTTACTACTGATCTTAGTCTTCAGCCTAGTTTTGACCGAAACAAATATCTTTTTTTTTCAGGGCTGCAAGTAACAATTACTTGTAGCGATCGGGCTGGCGATTATTTTCTTGATTAACTGGTTAATCGGTTAAACGTTTCGTCTCTGAAATGTCTGGAAAAAACGAAACATGTATGTGACAATGTGACATTTTCAAATTGCTTGTTTTGTTTGACTAACAGTCCAAAACCAATATATTTAATATGCTATCACATAAGACATGCAGCAAATCCTGCAAAAATTATTATAGCTAATCGATTAACCAACTAATCATTTAAGCTCTACTGTTTTTATTTGCTTATGTCTTTTATTTTTGCCGGTTGTCACCTAGAATTT